ATGACCAACAGTACTATATCTGTGCACATGTTCCACAGTAGATGCTTATGGGTTCTGTCCCTTAGTAGTCAGCACCCTCATCTGTGCAATGTTGAATTGAGACTTTCTTATGATGTTTCCAGTTAAATATAATTGATAGCTTTCTTTTAAATCATGGAAAAAAGATGGTCAAACAATATAGCAGAAAAACTCTTAGTTATAGCTGGACGGATGACCCAGGACAGCTGAAGCTTACTTGCCCTTTAGATCATTGTTTACAAACACAGATACAACATATTTGAGACTTGCACAAGTCAACAATATATAGCAATAATTAAATATAATGACAGGAAAAATTAAGCTACATGTAATTATAAACCATAATCCTAACTCAAAACCAATAATAAAACGTTTCATGTGTATCATTAGTGATGTCACCGTGGTCAATTAAGCCCCAGTTACTGGAGATATACTGATAACAGTTTACTGTAGGCCTATAAACACTGCATAGCAAACGGGATCAACTTAGAATTTCTTATTTATTTATGCTATAATTATGACGAATCTTCAATCAAAATGAAGATCTTGCAATTCTCTTTCTAATCATGTTTTCTGTATTTTAACGCTGTGAATAGAACATAAGTCATTTGCTAACATGTAGTTTTTCACATAACTTAGCTCAAGCCTCTAAGACCTCCAGGGGGCTTGGCCTAATCTATTTTTGGAACAGTGTGACATCACTGTGAAAGGTCTTTATAATTTATTCTAAATTATGCAAAGAAAATTCCCAGCGCAATATATTCCTTTAATAAGTCATTGGAAGGTTCTACATATTTGTATATAAACCTTTGTGAAACTTTAACTGGCCAAATATGAAGTTGATTTTACACAATCTGACCCCCGTGACCTTAAGATATTTTCATGGGTCAAGCTATTTTTTATTTTCACATACTATGTGGCGGACACTATAAAGGGAAACTTTTGGCCAAATATTATGATTTTAGGCCTTTTAGTTAAGCAGAAGTTGTTCAAAGGTTTAACGCCTTTGACCGTTGTGACCTTGTATATGGGTCAAGGTGATTTCTTTTTGCAAACTTTCTAGAGCTTGATAAAAGGAACCTTCCAGACAAATATAATAAATCTAGGCCTTCCGCTATTTTGGAAGAAGTCGTTTAAGGGTTTTTACACATTTGAACTATGTGACCTTGAATAAACGTCAAGGTCATTTCTTTTCGCAAACTTTGTTGGGCTTCATCAAAGGAACCTTCCAGTAATGTATAATGATTCTAGGCCTTTGGTATTTTGAAAGAAATCTTTTAAAATGTTTTAACACATTTCACCTCTGTGACCTTGATTATGGGTCAAGGTCATTTTTTTCCCCCAACTTTGTTTGGAATCATCAAAGGAAACTTAAAGGCATATATAATGATTTTATGCTTCCTGGTATTTTGGAAGAAGTTGCTTAAATTTTTAAAAATATTTGACTCCTTTGACCTTGAATATGGGTCAAGGTCTTTTCTTTTCACACACTTTGTTAAGCTTCATCAAAGGAACCATTCAGCCAAATATAATGATTCTAGGCCCTCCGGTATAATGGAAGAAGTCATTTAAAAATTTTAACATTCTTGACCTCTGTGACCTTGAATATAAGTCAAGGTGATTTCATTTTGCAAACTTTATTGGGCTTGATAAAAGGAAACTTCCAGCCATATTTAATGATTCTAGGCTTCTGGTATTTTGAAAGAAGTCTTTTAAAAGGTTTTAACATATTTCACCTCTGTGACCTTGAATATGGATCAAGGTCATTTTCTTTTGTAACTTTGTTGGGCTTCATCAAAGGAATCTTCCAGCCATATTTAATGATTCTAGGTCTTCCGGTATTTTGGAAGAAATCGTTTAAAGACATTTTACCTCTGTGACCTTGAATATAGGTCAACGTCAATTTTTTCTTTTTTTTGCAAACTTTGTTGGGCTTCATCAAAGGAACCTTCCAGCCAACTATAATAACTCTAAGCCTTTTGGTATTTCAGAAGAAGTTGTTTAAATGAAAAGTTGACGGATGCAGGACGGACAAAGGACGGACAGACAAATGACGGCCCTTTGGGCCAGGTGAGCTAACAAAACACTCACACTGACCACAGATTGAGTACCGACATATTTCCCGAACAATATCAATAGATTTACCTTTCCTAAAATGTCTATATAAGGTAACCGCCTATTGAAACAATTTCCAAACATTCGAGACATGACATCTTTTCTCGAAAAACACCATAGAGACAGACATCATTTATGTCAAGCTAAACCTGCAACGTGTAAAGTAATCCTCGAAAAGGCCTACAATGGTCTAATTAATTGTATCCGTGACTGCATTCAAAATATTACCAGGTCGAGTGTTGATGATGGAATAGAAGAAACATTTGTCATTTCATAAAGTCTGTCTTCGTAAATTATTGAAGACAAAAGAAGCACATCATCCAAAAGGAGGGTTTCATTCAGACACTGGCACCTGAAGTGTTACCGTTAGTGACCAAACTCTCGGGCAGACTGTTCCAGGGAATATGAGAAAAAAATCTTTGGTAATGCAGGGATACAGTGTACGAGCGAGACCTAAACCACTGGTGGACTCGATCATCTGTCATGATGTCGAGAGGCGAATACCAGATGATGGAAATAAAATCAACAGACATGAAATAAATTTAACAAATTTATTAACAATCCACTGTGTGTACATGTAGAAACAGTAAAATGCCTCCAGGAGAGGATCGACACTATATGGGGTTCGAACCAATATCACATTATGTTTACACCCTAGAGTTACCATTAATTCTTGGTTTTGGTGTGACGTCACGTCTGTAACAACAGGAAGTTTGCCATCTTTGGAGGTGAAACAAACTCTTAGCAATGCTAAGGAGAGGTTGTTTAGTGTTTAGTAAACAAATTTTTTAAATGGAGAAACATTTACTGATAATGTTATTTGTTATATATGTTCTTAAATAGTTTCAGTATGCGTATTAATGAATATATGTACTGTTTCTCAGTACATCACAAACCCCTCCTTTATACAACTGTGACTGAATGACAGTGATTAGAGCAACCCCCGGCACTGCATGATTTTGGCATACCCAATGCCTTAACGTTGACTTTTAACAGATCTAAATTTGGTATTACTTATATTTTATCAAAGAACAAAGATGGCGATAGTTTTCACCTCAGATTTAATCGCAAGGCATCATTAGGGGTCAAGTACCAATATATCTGGGGTAATGAATCAAAAATACAACTCTTGACTAGAGTTGAATAAATCACCATTGACATGAAATTGGAAATGAATTCTATCGGCACCTGTAAATGACTGTAAAAATAATTAACATCAATCTCAAAAACAATGAGCCATATACTTTTACACTGATGCATAATATTACTCTGAGCCAAATAAATATTGAATTAATCACCACTTAATTAATCAACCAATTAATATTACAATGGATAATGAGAAAAAGTATGTCACTGAAATTCACTGTACAATTCACTGTTACATTTGTCACCATAAATTATAACTGCCCACTTGTTCAATAATAGCAGACGGGGTAATCTATACTGAAGATTCACTATGTCTTTGAAGTCGTAGAGGTTCCTCAGGAGTCATTGAAGTGCCCAAACTTAGCTATGCTCAAGCAAAGGGGAGGTAACTTTTTTTTTCACTTTACCTTATACCTAAAGCGTCATTCTCAAGTGCCTTTTTATAGCGTTAAATTATCATATAAAAGCGTGAGCCTTCCAAACATTCGAGTGACTGAGAATAATGAAGCGAAACTGAACTTATGTTTATAAGGAAAAACGTCACGAAAATCCATGGCGGTAAGATGTGATCCAAAACTGAAATGTGTAAATCGGCATATTTTCCTCCATACGCTGATTACACGTCAAAAAACCTTTTAATTTGTCTCACATATGTTCAATCTGCATGTAAGTGGTTCTAACTCTGTCTGGTTATTCCGCTTTTTGTCGTAAATCATAAATATAAAAAACTGACATACAGTCTGTTACGACTAGGGTAAGTCGCGGAGATTGTCAATACAAGCTACTTTCACTTTTGAATAGCCTGAGTTTTAACGTTTGAAAGGGCATAGCACTTCAATTTTGTAGCTAAAAAGTATTTCTTAAGCCATGTAGATAAATTAAAGGGCAATCCGACACCAGCTTAAACATTTTGATGGTAAGAATTTCACTGTAAAATCCAGTCTCATACCGCATTACGCATATACGAGCAGTCAATTGAATTAATCATCGAGTCCATGAAATAGAATGAGTACTTGCGGACCTAGTCAGTGTGTGACAGTAACTTACTGAGTAAGACTGTCAGTTCGTGACTAATAAACCATAAATACTTTAACAGCATAAGAACATTCATGAGCTTTGTTTGATATCATTTAACAGTCGTCTGAATGGTGCATTTTGTTTTCTGATAGGTAAGGATTTCAGACTTCGAAAGAGAAAACAAGGATTTGAAAGAAAAGATTAAGACACTAGAGGAGGAAATTTCAAATTTAAGAAAGCAATTAGATTGGTAATCTAATATGAAAAAGGAAATGAAAAGCATGAAAAAAGACATTGAAAGGTTAAAAGAAGCTTTAAAAAAGAAATAATTGAGACACTTACGCTATATATATACACACATACTTTACAAATTTATACTGCATATTGTTTATATTAACATCTAAAATGTCTTCCCATGGCAAGTTTATGGCCCAATTTGGGTTGTCCATCAGTGATCTGGAGTCAGAACACCATCACACAATACCCCACATAATGGAAAATAAACTGAGTAAAGGTCTTGTGTGTGAGCTATTTCAATACGCAAAAACATGTACCGGTAACACTCCACCAGTGGATAAAGTGGCGCTATGGCTATCATTATTGTGCCGATTGGATCTTTCCACCATTTCAACTTTAACACTACAGACAAAGTTATATAAACTTTTAAGAGATAAAAAAGGAAAGGGAGGTGATTCGCTGAAATCATTCAATAGTCAAATTTTTGTGATACCTTTAAAAACAATTTTGGCACAAAAAAGTGAATTTGAAAAAATAAGTGAAGCCGCCGAACAGTCTGTTGTTAAGGAACTTGCTGAAGAACTATCTGTCACAAGTGAAGCTTTAAGCAAAAAGGAAGAAAAGACATTGTCTTTAAGAAATGAAAATTGTCAAGGGCAACATCAAAACTTGAACAGTGTAAAAAACTAAAACTTGAGCAGGATGTGTTAGAACAAAGTCTACACAAAACAAAACAAAATTATGCAAGAAACAGTATCATCAAAGGAAAAGTTGTGTGAGTATGTGAGAAAACTGGAGAATAATGTGAGAGACTTGAAGAAAGAACTGACATCAAAGGGTTTAGAAACAGAATCCTTGGAAAACAGCCACTGTTTTATCTGATTATGTAGAAGAAAGTTCTCAGTTAATGAAATTGAAAATGAGGAAGTGAACAGTGTGATAACAGAAAATGATGCCCTAAAGGAATCAAATGATTATCTCTTGGCATTGCTGAATGACAATGCAGAATTACCAGTTTCCACATATGATGAGGATAAGGGTGCATTTTCACCAGAATTAACAAACTGTGTCATGCAGCTGTTAAATTATGGTATTTCATCAAAGAATATGGCCGATGTTTTAAGTACTGTAGCAACACTTTGTGGTAGTTCTTTAAGTAAATTACCCAGTAGACAGACTGTTGACCGCATGAGTGATCGGAGAATGGCCCTGGCACAGAAGCAGTTGGAAAGTATCTCCATAAGCCAAAATCTTACTCTGTATTCAGATGAGACTTCAAAGTATGGAAGGAGTTTTGAAGTGTTTGCTGTCAGTGATGAAGAAAAGAATAGTTATGTTCTAGGGTTATGTGAAATGTATATCAAAAGTTCAGAAACTGTTGAATACACTAAAAGACATATTACATGATGTCAACAAACTCTGTGACCAAAACAATAGAACTGAAATAGGTTTTAAAATTTTATGCAACATAAAGAACACAATGTCGGATCGGGCTGCCTCAGAAAAAAAATTTCAACAACTTTTGAAGGAATACAGGGAAGAGATATTGCCGAAATGTCTGGAGGGATTGGTGCAAATGAATGAGGAGGAGTAAAGTGCTTGTTCCAAAATGAATAACTTCTTTTGTGGATTGCATCTTCTGGTTAATTTTGCTGATGTATGTGCAGAAGCGCTTCTTAAATTTGAGCATTCTCTTCTGTCGAAGCCAGGTGGTGCAGAAGCTTTGGAAGAAAGTGAAGAGCAAGAAGTGAAAAGCAGTGAAAGTGGAACAAGCAGGTTATTAAGAACATGTAGCAAAGCATTTGTTAAAGGCGTAGATAAAAAACGGGGTATATGACCCATTCAGGTCATACTGCAGACAAAAAGGAGATAATGTACAGTTTATGCGATACAAACACAATCGATTCAATGTCTTCTTTTTACTGGGACACATTGCGTATCACCATCGACACAACATTTTGCATTTTTTGCAATCAGTTCATGGCTGTACGAACAGACTACTTTCTTCAGTGGAGGCTGATATTATAGAACCAGTCTATATAGCTGGCTGTAGAGCTCTGGGAATTATCTCACAATCTGTCACGGGGCCACTATGGCGCAAAATGGAAGACAACTCCCATATTTTGACGCTTAATGAGACTCTGTCAGCACTCCAGGATTATCTCGAAGTCGCCAAAGATGACAGCACAGTTGTTATTTCTGGAGCTTTCAGGCCATTCGTAAACGAGAATTCAGATGACAATGCCATCATGAAAGAGCTATTCTCCTCAGAGGACAGTGATGGTTTAACCATACAAATTTTACAGTTTCTCTTTGCCGCCATGCTTACTCTATTGAAAAGACAAGCAGCAGATCATTTACCGGGAGGTACTTTCTCTACAACAAATGAGGAATTAATACATCAAACACAAAGTTCCTTAAAACACAATAAACTGCCAGAATTCTTTTTTGGTCAGTTAGACCATTTAATGAAATTCAGACCAAATGCAACAACCCTGTGCAATGAATCGTACATTATGTTTTCACACAACAAGACGTGCGAATGGTTGGACAGCTTGGAGGAAGAACATCGGAACAGATTGATAGAGGATAGTAGGAAAGAGGGGTCAGAAATAAGGGAAAAGTTTAAAGCCCGAATTAAGGATACTGAACAAAGGAGATTAGAAAATTTGAGAAGGAAAGAAGAAGAGCTGGCACAAAAAAGAAATCGAATTTTGAAAAGAAAGGAGGATATGACAAGGGATATATTGTATTATGGCTTGTGGCAGTCACCGGATAACCTTGAGGAATGTTTACAGGAGTTGGACACAAAGAAGGAAAAAATACGGGCTCTGAAAGTTCAGCTGAATTTCCGAAAAAATGTTCTGCAGCAGGTAACAAAGGACAAAAACTTGTATTTGTTTTCTACGGGCAGACGTCAAAAGACAGTATCGGAGTTGACCACCAACTTAAAGGTCTTAATCCAAGAGGCAAAGTCTGTGCCACTTCCGGAGAGGAGAAGCAAAAACAAACCTCTGTTGGTAGGAAAAAACATAAGACACAAATTCAGTGATGGTCAGTGGTATGATGGACAAGTTCTTTCAGTGGTACCAGGTTTTAATGAATATTACAATGTGAAATACAAAGAGGACCAGGCCCTGTATGTTTACAAACTTCAGGAGGACTATGCTTCAGGAGATCTGGCAATACGTCCAGAAACAACAGGTTTGGATCCTAGTATTTCTGCACGTGGTTCCTGTTTCATTGTTATTTGGATGAGAAGAAAGTTCAAATCAGCAAAACCAATCAAACCAATGAAATGAGACTTTTACACACCCTTAAATATGGGGGAGAGAAAAACAATGGTGATTTGCATGTTTGTGATTATTTGCATGATTAAATTAAATGAAAATGATTTGCAAGAACTGCATGCTTTCATGTTTCATTGACTCTGCTGTGATTTGCATGTTGGTGTTACCTGTGTTATATCAAAATGAAATGCTCTGCATGTCAACAAAGAAAAAATTCAATAAAAGCTACATGTTGAAAACTGATTTTAATACAAGAATTGTTTGCTTGCTTTTCAAATTAATTTTATAGCAAGATGAACTTGTTGAGTTGTTTAAACAATGGTTTTAAATACTATTTTTGTTTGTTATGCTATTTTTTTGCTGTTATTTGTTATTTTGTTAGTTTTTCAGCTATTTCCTTATGGTGAAACCTGTCTAATAAAGATCTCTGAAGTGCTTTGGAACAAGTGGTCATTTTACAGAGTTCAATTATAATTGATGGTTAATTTGAGACTACCTGATAAAAACTCCCTTATTAAAAGGGTTGTAATAGCAGTTGGTGACTGGTCCCAAAGACAGGCTTCACTATATGTGAAAATATAATTAATTTAAACATTAGTTTGTTTGTTCAAGCTGGTTTTGAGAATTAAAATAAATTCAGCAAAAAAATAAAATAAATAAATACACAAATATTCCTCTTCTCAATTCCTGGATTATGGCATTATTACCAAGCTTGTTTCCTATAATTGCATTTAAATTAAATTATGCTATTATAATTTATTACACTTTTAAGGGAAAACATTATGTACAATAAACATATTTATACATTGTATATACATAGTAATAATAATAATAATATTTAGGATACTATCTAAAAATTGTAGCATAGGTAATTTACTGTAACACACTTTTTTTACAGACAACTACATGTAAGTGAGAGAGCTGGATTCTTATAAAAGAAGGTAGGCTATAATTTTGATACTTTTGTATTCAAACAGTTTTTTTTATTGGTTTGCATGTTTTAGACAGATATGTGAATTTGTTTTGGTGAAACATGTGTGGAAGAATAGATTTTCAACAGTTTTGAGCAATATGACATCTTTGTGCACTAAAATAAAATTTTCTGGAATGTTTTGGAAGCCAAACTTGCTTTGATATGATGGGATACATGTCATTTAAATTTATTGTTTATAAAGAAAATAGAGAAATAACTTTCAAATACGGTTTTTTTTTTCCATAGTGACATATTTTTCCAACAATGGTTGGAAAACCTCAGAAAAAATCCCAAAATTCTTAAATTTGAAAAATCCGTTAAAAAACCAAATATCAAGATATCTTCATTCTGTTTGTTTTACTGACATCACCAAAAGATGCTTTATACATACAAATACATGTTTAAGGCATATTTACAGGAAAAAAATAGTTGAGCATAGCTACCAAACTCTCCAGTTCCCTGTCGTGACGCGACTCTATGACGTCTCAATGAAGCGTCCGAGTTGTCTGAGAAGTGTATGTGACGAGTAGCCGTGACGAAGGACCAACGGAGTTTATTACGACCTAGCTGCCACCACTCAGGCGACATCCTGACTTCACACCGGCTACAGGACCCCATCTGCCTGGCCCTACCACACGAACTAAAAAATGTAAACAACCATTGGTAACATATAGAAGCTTCAGAAATTTTAACATTGAAAACTTCCACATTGACCTACAGAACGCATCACTAGAAGAAACAGTTAAACATACAGACGTTAACACAGCCTACAACAACTTCAGCAAAACACTGACAGACATAATAAACAAACACGCCCCAATGAAAAAAAGACGAGCTAGATTACACCAAGCACCATTTATGAACAAGAAACTAAGACGAGATATATTACAAGAAAATGCTTCACAATAAGTACATCACCAACCGCACCAAGAACTGGGAAAAATACAGAACACAGAGAAACCAAGTCACTAAACTCAGAAAACAGTCAATAAAACAATACTTCCTAGACAGATGTACAGGGGGACAAAACAACCAGAACTTCTGGAAAACTATCAAACCATTTATTACAAACAAAGGCTGCCAAAATCAAGTAGACATTATATTGGAAGAAAAAGGAAAAATCATTAACAAACAAGCAGAAGTAGCAGACACCTTTAATAATTTTTTCATTCATGTAGCAAAAGATATTGGATCTAACAGCCCCCCTATTGACGATCAACATCCTAGTCTACAGACCATAGCCAGGAACAAAAAACAAGATACACAATTTACATTTAAACATGTAGATATAGAATTCATAAACAAACTGTTCAACAAAATTAATCCTAAAAAACATTCCCAGACGCATTAAAAACAGCACAAGTTAGACCAATTCACAAGAAAGACAGCACCCTCGACAAAGGAAACTACAGACCAGTGAGTATACTCTCGGCACTGTCCAAGGTCTTTGAGAGATCCATACACTTCCAACTCAGCGACTTCCTTGATGGTGTCTTCCACCCTTACCTCTCTGCCTTCAGAGCCGGATATGGATGTCAGACAGCATTATTGAGAATCGTTGAGGATTGGAAAATGGCACTAGACCAGAATAAGTATGTGGGATGCATACTTATGGATCTCTCAAAGGCTTTTGACTGCTTGCCTCAAGACCTACTAACTCTTAAACTCAAAAACTATGGACTTTCAAATTCGGCCTCAGAACTTATTTCGAACTATCTCAAAAACAGAAAACAAAAGGTTAAATTAGGAAATATTAAAAGCACCTTTCAGGAACTATACAAAGGAGTACCACAAGGATCAATATTAGGGCCAATTCTTTTCAACACTTTCATCAACGACATTTTCCACTCTATACAACACTGCAAATTATACAACTATGCCGACGACAACACTATTAGCAAAGCACACACCTCATTAGAAACAGTCAAAACATCACTACAAACAGACTGCAACTCACTCATACACTGGTTCGCAAACAATCACATGAAAGCTAACCCAAATAAATTTCAAGCCATGGCAGTAGGTAATAAAACACAAAACGAAAACATCACTTTCCAAGTAGGCAACAATACCATTAAATGCGAACCAGAGGTTAAACTGCTAGGAGTTACACTTGACTTTAAACTAAACTTCCACACACATGTATCCAACATCTGTAAAAAAGCATCGAAACAACTCAACACACTCAAATGCATAGGAAAACACTTAAACAGACCGGGCAGACTCACTATATATCATTCTTTCATTCTTTCGAACTTTAATTTCTGCCCACTTACATGACACTTCTGTGGTGAAACTAATACACAAAAAATGGAAAAAATTCAAGAAAGGGCTCTGAAATTCATCTATGACGACTACGAAAACACATACGAAAATTTATTAGCCCGTTCAAAATTACCCTCTCTCAAAATTAGGCGCCTTCGAAATTTTGCAATAGAAGTTTTCAAAATTAGCAACAATCAAACACCAACATATTTGCATGACCTTATAAACATAACAGAAAAATCATAGACATTTAGATACCATAATACAGCGGAAATACCACAGGTTAGGACCACAAAATACGGCAAACACTCATTTAGATCAGAAGCACCTAAAATTTGGAACACCCTACAAGACCATTTCAGAACAACAACCACACTTACACAATTTAAGACACTAATTAACATCTGGTATGGGCCAAAATGTAAATGCAACACATGCACCTATATAATCAGACACATTTAACAATACTATATTTTAATATTTCACCTGCGGAATATTAAAGTTTTAATCCGAGTGGTTTTAAACTTATATTTTATCTATTATGTCATTGCGTATTTAGTGTGTGACTGTATGCATGTGTCGGATGAAATAGCTCAAAAGAGCTAATGTTTGTACTGTTTTAAATACCGACAATAAATAAACTTACGTGACTACGACACGACGGTTTCGCAATTATCCCTAATATTACCTCAAAACACATTCTATCTATTGACAATACTATATAACTATTAAATGTATCTCTATATGCCTAGAAATGCTCAAAAATAGACCTAAACATAAGTTATTACTCTCCTTGTACTTCACACAATGTATCGTATATTAGCCCTGCACATGGTTCAGCGAGCCGATTTCACTACCAGCATGATTCGCTTAAAACATGACAAAAATACAATGACAGCTACTCAGCCGGTTATATTTCCAACAATGGTGGTTTTATACAAAACACTCACCCCTTGGAAGTTCCCTAACTCGCTTTATATTCCATGTCTTACGAAGTTTTCAACGCAGCCAGCGTAATCACGGTTACATGGCTCGCAACCCTGTTTGTTTCTCCTTGCAGTGACGGACAAGCTCGTTTCTGATTGGCTAAAATTAGTTCTAACCCACCAATTGAATACCCCATATAACTACCATATTTACACTATTAAACGCTACCCCACTTGTACCAGTGTACCCTACTGTAGTTAAACACCTAAAAACTCCGTTATGGAAAAAATATACCATGGTAGAAATCAACAGTTTTTACACTGTAATAACTGTGATTTATCCACTAAAATAACTTGACACTGACACTACTTGTGAAAAAATCCAAGCACGGCATAGACGGAGATATGTCAAACCGAGACGATATTCCGTTAGACGTTATACAATCAGACTTAACAGAGGTACATGTCGAGATACCGGCAATACACCCATAACAGTGATATACCTATATTGATGGACGCCGTCCACTCGGTGGGTGTATCGGAGGGCAACGCGGAAACAGCGGGAAAACCAAAGGACTCCATTCAAGACATCATCTTACAGAGTGTATTAATGACTATTTGGGCAGTCTATGCCGGAGCTAAAACAAACGATGTGTGTTCAGATTGCCATGTTTAATCTTTTCTAATACATCCGTAACGCGGACGTACACACATGCATGCAAGTATTACAAGCATATGGTGTAGGGGAGGTAACTCTTATAGAATAATGATGCATCTCCCTTCTGAGTAAAGTATATAAACATAAAGAACATTATAGAAATTACAAATTATATGTGAGTTAATGACTAGATCTATTTGATCACATAGAAAATTGATTCTGTAAATAAATGAAATAATTACAATCAATTATTTAAGTTCATAGAAACTATCTTTCAATAATGATCACAATTACATTTTAGTTTTCCCGCGTTTCGCGAGTAATTGCCGGGAAAATGTTGTATAAACGGCTCGCACTGCTCGCTTTAGGTACGGGCATGTGTACATGTCGGGTCACATGACTCAGGTGTGGTACGGGTATTGGTGTAGGGACATTATCTATCGAACAGCGTTTCCATACGACACGCCAGAATAAAAAAAAATGCACGTGCTTCATATTAAACGAATAGTTTACCTTAAAAATTGAACATAATCATTTTATTGGACAATGGATATCATTTAACAATAGTTTCTAACTATTCCGTGGCGGTCATTTTGAACGGATTAAAAAAATTGAGGCAGTCCGAGGTTTTCCTGATTTTTTTTTCTTTCATATATCATACAAAGTAATTTGATGTTTTTATCTCTGGTCTTTAGCCCAGGACTGCTTCGTGCTTGTGTAACTATGATTTACAGAGAAAGTAGTTAGAACGGTGTGTTGGTGTGAAGATTTTACACTTTGTAAAACACTGACACTCTTTCAGTTCAAATAAACTCTAACTGGCGATCGTATGCTGCACGCTAGTTGGCAAATGTAGCATTTGAGTTGTTGTCGTTTATGTGCTAAATGATTGTCGTTTATGTGCTAAAGGGTTGTCGTTTATGTCCTAAAGGGTTGTCGTTTATGTGCTAAATGGTTGTCGTTTATGTGCTAAAGGGTTGTCGTTTATGTGCTAAAGGGTTGTCGTTTATGTGCTAAAGGGTTGTCGTTTATGTGCTAAAGGGTTGTCGTTTATGTGCTAAAGGGTTGTCGTTTATGTGCTAAAGGGTTGTCGTTTATGTGCTAAAGGGTTGTGTGGTAAAGATATATAGATGAGGTTTATACCAGGTAAAAACTGACTATAAGTGTACTAAACAATATGTAGCTGTCTGTTGTGTGGGTGATGTGTGGGTAATGATCTTGTATACTTGGGTAATAGCAGATGATGATAGACAATATGTGGCTGTGTGTGTGTGGGTGATCTTGTATACTTGGTAATAAGGGACAAATGTGGTTTATGTGTGGTTGTGTGTGGAAAAGGGTTGACAATATGTGGCTGTGTGGTTGTGTGGGTGATAGTTGGGAAATATGATGATATATGTGGCTGTGTGGTTGGAAATGGATGATGATAGACAATATGTGGCTGTGTGGTTGTGTGGGTGATCTTGTATACTTGGGAAATAGCAGATGATGATAGACAATATGTGGCTGTGTGGTTGTGTGGGTGATCTTGTATACTTGGGAAATAGCAGATGATGATAGACAATATGTGGCTGTGTGGTTGTGTGGGTGATCTTGTATACTTGGGAAATAGCAGATGATGATAGACAATATGTGGCTGTGTGGTTGTGTGGGTGATCTTGTATACTTGGGAAATAGCAGATGATGATGATAGACAAAAGTAATGGTATTCCATACATCCTCGTTTTAATAGTAAACATCTGACGGAATGTTAAAAGTCAAGTTGGGAAAGCTTAATAAAATACACACAGGAAAATTATAAAACAGCACACACGGGATATTATAATACAACACAAGGGAAAATTATAATACTGTCCCAGCGTCTATTACCTTTTAGTATATAAAAAAAATAGTTTAATATTAAGTTTTGATAAATTAGATTTTTCTGAAATATTTTATTGTAAAATGGGACTTATTCTCTTAGTTTTGTTTCTCGCAAAACCAGTATAAATATACGTTGCATAATGTTGAGATTAGTACGGGTTCTCAAATAAAGCCTTCATTAAAACTTTATTCAATATGTCCTAACCAAAGAACTATATGGAAAGACATTTTAACAAGTTTCGGCCAAAGGTGTTTCGCATTGTATTAGGCTCTTTTATCTGTTAGCGTTAGCCTTTAGTCAGTTAGCGTCAGGATTTACTTTCATTGTCTCTGAGGAATGTTTTTACTTTGTCCAATTAAGGGGTCTGTTAGCATTACTCGATAGTGTCACAATATCTCAGCGAAGGCCAAGCTATTGTTGACAGGTTGCAACAGGTATGTTGACACAGTAAGGCTAGATCTCATTGGTCAGTGGTCGAAACGTTTCTCGGAGTCATATGTAGAACATGATTTGATTGGTCAAGGAAAGTTCTGAGAATTCTGTATAGTTAGCGTCTCGGCCGTTCTTGTCACTTCTGAACAAGACGCCGAATAAAGAAGCTAACTTAAGAATTCCTGTTTTGTCTTCAGTTGCGGTAGACTAATACGTGATATCGGTGCAATTAAATGAGCTAATTCCCAGGTTAGCACCCCTGTCACAATACAACACACACAGGAAATTATAATACAACACACACGGGCAATTATAATAAAACACACACGGGAAATTATAATACAACACACACGGGGAAATTATAATACAACACACACAGGGAAATTATAATACAACACAAACACAGGGAAATTATAATACAACACACACGGGAAATTATAATACAACACACACGGGGAAATTATTATACAACACACACAGGGAAATTATAATACAACACACACGGGGAAATTATAATACAACACACACGGGGAAATTATAATACAACACACACGGGGAAATTATAATGCAACACACACAGGGAAATTTTAATACAACACACACAGGGAAATTATAATACAACACACACAGGGAAATTATAATACAACACACACAGGGAAATTATAATACAACACACACAGGGAAATTATAATACAACACACACAGGGAAATTATAATACAACACACACAGGGAAATTATAATTAAACACACACGGGAAATTATAATACAACACACACGGGGAAATTATAATACAACACACACAGGGAAATTATAATACAACACACACAGGGAAATTATAATACAACACACACAGGGAAATTATAATACAACACACACAGGGAAATTATAATACAACACACACGGCGAAATTATAATACAACACACACAGGGAAATTATAATACAACACACACAGGGAAATTATAATACAACACACACGGGAAATTATAATACAACACACACGGGGAAATTATAATACAACACACACAGGGAAATTATAATACAACACACACAGGGAAATTATAATACAACACACACAGGGAAATTATAATACAACACACACGGGAAATTATAATACAACACACACGGGGAAATTATAATACAACACACACAGGAAATTATAATACAACACACACAGGGAAATTATAATACAACACACACAGGGAAATTATAATACAACACACACAGGGAAATTATAATACAACACACACAGGGAAATTATAATACAACACACACAGGGAAATTATAATACAACACACACAGGAAATTATAATACAACACACACGGGCAATTATAATAAAACACACACGGGAAATTATAATACAACACACACGGGGAAATTATAATACAACACACACAGGGAAATTATAATACAACACACAACACACACAGGGAAATTATAATACAACACACACAGGGAAATTATAATACAACACACACAGGGAAATTATAATACAACACACACAGGGAAATTATAATACAACACACACAGGGAAATTATAATTAAACACACACGGGAAATTATAATACAACACACACGGGGAAATTATAATACAACACACACAGGGAAATTATAATACAACACACACAGGGAAATTATAATACAACACACACAGGGAAATTATAATACAACACACACAGGGAAATTATAATTAAACACACACGGGAAATTATAATACAACACACACGGGGAAATTATAATACAACACACACGGGGAAATTATAATACAACACACACAGGGAAATTATAATACAACACACACAGGAAATTATAATACAACACACACGGGCAATTATAATAAAACACACACGGGAAATTATAATACAACACACACGGGGAAATTATAATACAACACACACAGGGAAATTATAATACAACACACACAGGGAAATTATAATACAACACACACGGCGAAATCATAATACAACACACACAGGGAAATTATAATACAACACACACAGGGAAATTATAATACAACACACACGGGGAAATTATAATACAACACACACAGGGAAATTATAATACAACACACACAGGGAAATTATAATACAACACACACGGGGAAATTATAATACAACACACACAGGAAAATTATAATACAACACAAGGGAAAATTATAA